CGGCGGCGGCGCAACGGGGAGGCGGCGGCGTCGGGCGGCGGCGGCGCGAGGCGTCGTCGGCGCTAGGGTTTCAGGGCCGGGCTGGTGGCGCTGCGGGCTTCGGGCCTCGCCCTTTAAAGGTCGGCCGGGCGGTGTCCGGGTCTGGCCCGGCCCGGTTAGGTCGGTGCATTTTTTTAAATAATCCTGACGCGGAGAAACAAATAAAAAAAATACTAAACGAAATCCAAAAATCCTAAAAAAAATCACGGTCCTCTAATAATATTGCGGACAAAGTGAACATTTATTTGGGCCTCTAATGCAATTTTAGAAAACGCATATTTTTCCTAATTCAAATAAAATAGCAATAAAAATCCAAAAGAAAATATTTATTTGATTTTAATATTTTTCCTTCAATATTCCCTTTATTGTGGAGAAGTCATATTATCTACTCTCTTACATTTTAATATGAAATATTTTCAGAGAGAAAAATAATTAAAACCAAAGTGATCCTTGTTTTGATATTTGATAAAATTCAAATATGAGAAACGTTAAATCCCCAACTCTCTCCGTGTGTCCTTGAGTTGCTTAGAATTTCGAGGATCGCAAAACGAAATGCAATAAAATATGATATGCAGGAATGACCTATGTATAACATTCCAAATTGTAAATTTGGGATGTTACAAGCCGCTACAACAAAGCTGAAAGACTTCGAGATGCCTCAACAAATGTCCAAAAACTAATTTGTAACATTTCAAGAGGGATATAAGTTATATGTAATATTGACTATACACCATATGACCCGACTAAATTATAATAAAAAAGGTAGGCGCGTAATTGTCGCATCATAGTTAGAAAAAATGTCCATTTGAATTGCATTGGCAGTTCCTTTTAGGCTGGTCACAAAGGGAGTATTATCATGTATGCTAATTTGACATTTTTGCTGAGGTGACATATAATTAAATAAAGAAAAAGAAGATTGAGTATCATGATATGATATTGTGTTATATTAAATGATATACTAGTATGTGCCATGTATGGCAATAAATAAGATACTATGATACTATGCATGTAGTATCATACACTAATATTAGACGATGCATGATACTAGTATATGATACTCCCCACTGCGACCAACATTTTTAACATTATCCTTAAGTTAATATGGCACATCCGTGCATATACCGAAGATTCTCACCTTCAACGATTTTTTTAGAGGTGCCTAGTTTTGAATACGGATATCAGTTGGATAAGCACCACATACATTGCTTGCAAAAATTGTGCTTTTGTTACAAGTTGTATGCAAAAGAGGAATGTTCATCAAATAACTAGAAGCTATTGAGATGGGAACAAAAGCTTCTGTGCCACAAATATTTGTCACGAGAATGAGACATTTAACATGTGTATGTCCAGAACCTTGCAGTGAGGCATGTTTGTCTCATGCAATGTTGTCAAAACTTGAGTGCTGGTACGGTGGAGTATGTGGCCAGCTATCATCCGAGAACCTCACGTGTCCTTAATTAACGAAGGCCTACCTAAAAAAGAAGTGAGGCATACTCTTAGTCAAGGTGACCTGTCAAGTTAAATATGCTCCTTTTCCAAACAAAACAAAAAACTGTTAAGTACGCCTTGTAGAACCCAGTAGAGTGAGTGTGTGTTTGTGTACTACACACCGGCAAAACCGACGGGCTTTCACGGACCACGCTGCGTGTGC